GTGGGCAAGTGATATGATGACCAAGCCTCTGGATTTTTGGAAGACCGTATTGTTCTCAGACGAATAACGATTCGCTCATTTTTCGGACAGTGGAAGGATATGGATCTGGAGAATGCCTCACCAAGTGTTTTGGCTCAATATATTGCAGCCAACTGTGAAGCATGGTGGTTTCAGCGTGATGGTTTGGTTTGGTGGGAGATCGAGTTTAGTGGAGTGCGTTGGCAACATAAATTTTGCGAAATACGTCGAAATATTGGAGGAAGGACTCTAGTCACTTTATTCCTCGGGTTTTGTGAACAAGAACACAACGTTGTTCCAGGAAGATGGAGCACCGTGTCACACTGCTAGAAACACCCAAAAGTGGCAGGAAGAAATTGGTATCCAGAAGTTACCCTGGCCGAGCCAATCTCCTGACATGAACCCCATAGAAAACCTCTGGACCATACTTGACCGGCAAGGCAAGAAACAACCAAAAAACCAACTTCGAAGAGCGATCTACTCCAAGTTTTGAAGCAAGAGTGGGCGAAAATCCCACAATCTAAAATTGACGAGATGATTCTCACCAATAACCCAAAGGATCAACGAACTCCACAAAGCGAAAGGAAGATCTACTAGATATTAATTAAATTACAAATATATGAATTCATGTGAATATGACTGAAAAATTTCATTTTTTTCTGAAAAGGTGGCGTCTATTTACTTGTGACCACGCTGTGTATACCATTCGTGTTATCAATTACTGTGGTTCTAAATAGTTTGTTTGTTTTGACTTTCGTGCAAAGCTACACGAGGGCTATCTGCGCTAGCCGTCCATAATTTAGAGTGTAAGACTAGAGGGAATGCATCACCACCAACCGCAAACTTTTGGGCTACTCTTTCACCATCGAATAGTGGGATTGACCGTCACATTATAACGCCCCCACGGGTGAAAGGGCGAGCATGTTTGGTGTGACGGGGATTCGAACCCGCCACCCTCAGATTGCAAGTCGAGCGCCCTAACCACCTGACCATGCCGGGCCGGTTCTAAATAGTGTTTCGACTGTTGTATTTTCAGCCGACCTGATGAACTTCTTACAATAAGTTAACTTTTACCTACTTGAAAAGTGACATTACTTGTGAATGTCCTTTTTTAAAGAACATACGTGTAAGCAGTATGAACAACAACAATAATAAAACATACTTTTGATACATCCTCGAAATGACAGTTTATATAAAATATTTTGTATAATTATTTGTATTTCAAAAAGTTAACGTAATATATATGCGCACAAATCTAAAACGTTCAAAATGAGACTACACTAAAATTAAAAGTTATTTTTCCATTAGCAGTCCCAGTTGTCATCATTAACTCATAACGGAAAATGTCTGTGGCCATAGTTCCCAAACGCGTTGGGGATATTCCCTCTATCAGACAAGATCCAAAGGCAGATATCAAACTAGCCATGAACTATGAAGAATCAATTAAAGGTTATAAGCCGATTGTTTGAAATCACTACATCTCAACTCGTACTGTTTTTTGCAGTGGGAAGGCAGTTACCCTTAATATTTATATACAACCTAAATTTTTACAATGTAAAACTCCATAAAACTATATTCAATTATTCATAAATAAATTGAAAAATAATGTTTATATAGACCTGCAAATAAATAATATTTACATAGTCAGTCTTTTGTAATATATGCAAAATTATGTTAAAAAATATATTCTAAATTATGGAAACTACCTTGTCGAGAGCATAGAGATATTTAGTTACTCAAGGTCATCCTTAGCTTATAAGTAACTAACTTTAAAATAGTTATTTTGTTCAGTATACCGGACGGAAAGACCAACTTCAGGTAGCTAGGCTTGTCTCAGCTAACCCGGTTTATACTTGAACAAAATTTTAAGAGAAAGACAGGAGGATGAGAGTTTAGGAACTATTAAGGTAAGGGTTTTAGTTCTGGTTGGTTGGTTGGTGTTTTATGGCGCAAAGCTGCTAGGCTATCTGCGCCAAACAACCGGTAAAAGCAATGAAAGTAGATTAAAGTAAAATGTAAAA